AGTTGGGCTTTTATTGGGCGAAGAAAAGTGCAGGGACGAGGATTCATCAACAAGAAACGGCAGTTGAAGCTTCCCATTTCTTAGTTTCTGTGCTGGAAGAGTTGGGAGAAAGGCACGCACGTAAAGATTGTTTAAAGTTACTCTCATCAGGATAAATCCTAGCAAAGTAGAAAATGCAAATACTGTAATATAAGAGATTTAAGTCGGAAGGTAACTTCCTTGCTAGTGCAGATAGGGTTGAACCCGTAGTTTCATTTTGATAGCAATATTTTGCAGTAAAACAATATTTACATTTTATACTAAAACTTTGCAAGTAAAACGCCACTTATAATAGTCTAAATAAGGCGCACCTAAACTGCTCTTGATCTGTACAAGTGCAATTAATTGATGTAATTGTCTTTGTTTAGACCTACAGTATTCTATAGTTGAGATACCCATCCACAATATAGTTTAAGCTGGTTTACTTGTGAATACACCTGATCACCTTCTACTGAATGATCAAGCTTCTGTTGCTTCTAGATTGTCATAATCTATTCAGTGTAAGCTTTTTTTCTTTAACTTCTTTTGCACCCTAGAGTTTCAGGATCTTTAAAAAATCTGTAGGTAAATGATTCGTATCTTCCTTGCTTAGGGAAAGCATATACTGGACACACAGATAAGCCAGACTTTATCACAATTATGTTATGTGAATAGACACTACACTAGATCTAGACTGAATTTTTAGATTTCATTTAAATTAATATGTAGAGTCCAGAATCCACCTAATTAGGTTGAGTGAAATGTGCTGATTTTGGTGTAGTATATCACTAATGGTCTAGGCCATGGGTGTCAAACTTGATTGTGATACGTCACATGACATCATGATGTTTTTTGCCTTTGTGGAGCCAGGGTGGGTGTGACTTGTGCGAGCCACCACTTTTGACACCCCTGGACTCTAGGGCATACCTGGATATTATTTCACTTTCATTAAAAAGTATTTTGGTGATATATTTATGTTGCATTTAATCTAAATATGTAATGTCTAAAATTTTAATTTCAACATATAACTTAGAAAACTTTATAAGATCTATCCTTATTTTATCTTGAATTATCCTAGTATATAGAGAAGATAAACTGAGAACAAATTTTGATACAGTTGTTTTGTAATCCCTGGGACTATGGTATATGAAATTATTGAATGCTGTGATTTGTCTCTTCACTGGATTTGAAAACTAAAAGCAAAACATTGCATCTACTCAGGCTACAGAGTTTGTTGAAGGCAAACACATTATGTGATTATACTGGCTTAATTACCCTTTACCAGGAAAATTTAAAAACCATTACTTCTCTGTCCTTTTCCTTTTTTCAAAGTTGGGCACTAAGATGGGCAACATTATTCCTCTTTATTCCAAATTGTTGACAACAGTAAAAGATTTACTAAGAAAGGACCAGAACTTTTACAATTGAGAAAAAAAACAATAGTAACACCTCTTTGTCTCCAAGGGAAATCCCCTGATGTGGAAAACAGCAAATAAAATTGTCCCTTTTCAGTAGTTCTACCCACATTGTCTTACTCTCTCTTATTGCTTGGTAATAATAATTTCATCTAATCGGATCAAATGCTAATGTTCGGTTTTCACCCTTCTTCCTGAAGATGCAATATTATTTCTGAAACTTCATAGATGAAAGGCTATAATTTGATAGAATTAAAATTATAAATATAAGTTTCAACTTATTTGTTCCCCACCTTACTCTAAATTCTGCCTTCAAATTTTGCCAGGTATTTTATTGTTTTATTTGTCTTACTTTTAGGACTCTGTTCCAAGAGAAAACACTACTAGGTATTCTGAATTACAGAACATATAACTATTTTGCAACATCCCATTATTTGTTCTGCTTAAAAGTTATGAGAAAATATAATATCACTCTATTACATTTAGGAAATGGCTCTGTTGCATTTATGAAAATGCTTAGCTTTGAACTTTGAAAATAAGTTGATTTCAAGACTTTGGTTTTATTAGGGAAAATGAGGTATTTTTAACCTAATTTAAAAGGAAGAAAGAATGTGCATTGAACTTTCATTTTCTTATTGAAAGAAGACAAGGATAGTCCTTATTAACCAGTAGGGAACTTGTTGTGGTTGTAGGGCACAAAGGATCTAATGGAGATCCTTTGTGTCCTTAATGTCATATGCTTTACAATATCCATTTATTAAGAGTAGCATCTTGTACTCATTTATTATTACTCTAATATTACCTGTCAGGTAAATTTTGTCAACCAAAATGCTACTGACAGCTATTGTTTGGAAATGCTATATTAGTTCCATTTATCAAGTAGTTTATGAAGTGCCAGCTGTGATGCTGGTTATAATTTCTAAAAAAGCAAACTAAAACATCTGTTTTCCTCTTTTGATTCATATATCAGGGCAGAGTAATTACAAGTGCCCAGGGGGAATGTTGATAATAGTAATGGCCTCATTATTAGCTGTAAATGTGTCATTTATGAGAAGTCTTTAAAGATACCTTGACAGTGAGAGTGAATCTCTTGAGCTAGAAAAACTAAGTAGTACAGTTTTTTCTGTCTCTTGAGTTATATTTTGGGACAATGGTAAATGAGTGATAAAATAACATGTGTACTTAAGAAATATGGGTATTTGTGCAAAATGATTTGCCATATTTAGTAACAAAGATTGAGTACAAACAATTTTTGCACGTATGCATATTTACATGTATACATATTTATTGCTTATACTTTTCTTTGTATACAACAATAACTCTTTAAATTCTATAAACCATTTGATTTTAACTGTATAGCAGTAGCATTTAGATTTATGTACCGCTTCATAGTGATTTACAGCCCTCTATAAGCGGTTTACAGAGTCAGCATGTTGCTCCCAACAATCTGGGTCCTCATTTTACCAACCTCGGAAGGATGGAAGGCTGAGTCAACCTTGAGTGGTTTAGAATCAAACTCCTGAGTGAGCAGTGAGTTAGCCTGCAGTACTGCATTCTAACCACTGCGCCACCTTTGCTCTTTTTGTGGTGTATGCTTCTGTATGTTATTTATTGATAGAGCTATAAACTTTTATGGAAAATGCACAGTTTCTAGTTATGTAAATGATAATGAGCTACCCAAAACTAACTGGGGAATGAGATCACCACATACACACTAAGCACTTTGCATTATAGGTAGTCCTTGACTTACAACAGTTTATTTCGTGACCATTAAAAGTTAAAAAAGCACTGAAAAAAGTGACATGACCATTTTTCACACTTATGACTGTTGCAGCATTCCCATGGTCACATGATTTACATTCAGAGGCTTGACAACTGGTTCATGTTCATGACAATTGCAGTGTCCTGGAGTTATGTGATCATCTTTCATGACCTTCTGACAAGCAAAGTCAATGGGGAAGCCATATTCAATGAACAAACGTTCATTTAACAAATGTGGCGAGAAAAGTCATAAACTGGGGGGAAACTCATTTAACAAATTTCTCACTTAGCAACATAAATTCTGGGTTTGATTGTGGTTGTAAGTTGAGGACTTACCTGTGTACAATTTATTTCAGATGAATTTATTACAATTTAAAATAAAGGCTAAACATGACTTTTAGTAATTTCTTGGGATATGCCTTGCAATTCTCATGAAAATAATAAAAGTGGTTTCTAATTATCATCCTCAACTTGTTTTTCAACTATTAAATCTAGTTTATAGCTCTTCAGCTCTTAGATTTTGTAGTAGTCTCCCCATCTGACTGTAACCAGATTCAGTCCAGTTTAGCTTTTTTGAGATCACTGGTTGACCCATCTCCCATGATGCTAATTTGGGATATAGTGCTTCAAAGACTCTTATAGGGAGAACTTATGACCATTCAGAGGAATTTTTAAAATTTCTGTTTAAACTTCTTGCTTGTAGAATTTTAACCATCTTGCTTCTTCAAATGTGCATCAAATAAAGCAAACAGTTCAAAACTACTACTAGCCACAGAGAGCAGTTTACACATTTGGACATATTGAGGGACCCTTATATTGTGAAAGCATCACAATAAATACAGCGCAACTCATCTTTCTAATAAACTCTCAGTAACACAAGGCATTGTTTTAAGTTAGATTCTAGATAAACATTCAACAAATGGGCTTCCAAATTCTGTTTGTTACAATGCTGCTCGCTTCTATGTCATATTACTGTGAAATATAACAAAAACATAATAGAGCTATTCAAGCATATTCATAATAATAGCCAGAAAAATACGTCCATGCATATGACAATTGGAAAGTTTCATAAAGGGAAAAATAAATTTCACAAATTCTCAGTTTATCAAAAGTTTGTTTGCTCACTGTCTTAAGCAGTACTATGTGTTTAGGATCACAAATATTCACTTACCATGGTGAGTATTTCTTATGGTCAGTGTAATCAGACCCTAATACACTCTTATTCATGGTACAGGGGGAAAAGGCAGTTATTTTTGGAGTTATCATCTATAGAAGCTTTCTGACACTTGAACCTGTAGAGCAAACTATTCTTGAAGTCATGGATTCCTGGTAGCATAAATTGATCAGAGACAAGCATTTATTTAGTGTTGAAAGGGATTGGATAACATTTTGTTGTATCCTTGGATGCATCAGAGTGTTGTAATGATCTCTTCTCTGCATATTTAAATTAAACATGCAATGGAGGCTATTGCACTTACTGTATTTACAATACTGTGCATGTAAGCTGCCCAAAATTACTTTGAGGTAGATGGGTGGCAATAAATTTTATAAATAAAATAACAAAATGTTAGCAAGTTATATCCCATATTCTTGTGCAGAGGGCAATTAAGTTTGGTCCAATGTTTTGTCATGAAATCTGACTATTAAACATGTAGAAATAGTATTGCGTTTATTCAGTTTCCAAAAAGGAACATTCCAATATTGTTATTAATAAGGTAGGTTTTGTATATTTATTGAAGCATTAATTTTGTACCGTTGAACAAACCAGTCCTTTCTCATGTTATGTTTATCTGCTGCCTTTATCAGGTGCTCATTAATGAGTGAAGAATCAAAAGGGGTTGGGACAGTGGCTAAGAAGCAATGGAGAATAAAACTTTGGAAACTTCCCCATCAGACCTAAAGTTAGTGGCCCACCCAAGAGCAAAGAGTAAAGTATGGAAATACTTTGGCTTTGATACCAATGCAGAGGGATGTATATTACAATGGAAGAAGATCTACTGCCGCATTTGCATGGCACAGATTGCTTATTCAGGAAATACATCCAACCTCTCTTACCATCTTGAAAAGAATCACCCAGATGAATTTTGTGAATTTGTGAAAAGCAACACTGAGCAAATGAGAGAGGCTTTTGCAACTGCATTTTCAAAACTGAAGCCTGAATCATCTCAGCAGGTTGTTCAGGACAACTTAATTATGAAAACAAGTCACAATTATGAGAATAAAAAGCATCAAGAGCTGACCTCAGCAGTGATTAGTTTAATCTGTGAAGGATTACATCCTCCATCTATTGTCGATGAACCCACATTTAAGAGTCTCTTAAGAACAGCTGATCCCAGATATGAACTTCCTTGCAGAAAGTACTTCTGCACAAAAGGAATTCCTGAAAAATATGTTGCCGTTAGAGAGATTGTGTTAAAAGAATTGACAGACATTCCGTGGTGTGGCATATCAACTGATATATGGAGAAGTCATAGTCAGAATAGATCCTATGTAACATTGTCTGTTCATTTTCTTAGTACTGGTTCTTCTGGCAGCTTGGCTATTAATTCTCGTTGCCTAAAAACATTTGAAGTTCCAGAGGAAAACACTGCAGAGACAATTACAAGAGTCCTGTATGAGATATTTATTGAATGGGAAATTAATACCAAAGTTTTTGGGGCTACAACGGACAATGGGAAAGATGTAGTGAAAGCTTGCTCTCTTTTAGACATCTCAATACAGATGCCATGCTTAGGTCAGACTTTCAATGCAGGTATACAGCAAGCTTTTCAGCTTCCTAAATTGAGCAGTGTCCTATCTAGATGTCGAAAACTAGTGGAATATTTTCAGCTATCTGCAGTAGCCATGTACATGTTGAGTGAGAAGCAGCAACAGCAGAACAGTTTGCATTGCATGCTTGTGAGTGATCGTGTTTCCTGGTGGGGCAGCACACTTGCCATGCTGCAACGTCTTAAAGAGCAACAGTTTGTCATTGCTGCAGTACTTGTGGAAGATAGCAATAATCACCACCTGATGCTGGAAGCTAATGAATGGAATACAATTGAAGGGCTGGTGGATTTGCTTCAGCCATTCAAGCAGGTAGCTGAGATGATATCTGCTTCCAAGTACCCAAGGATAAGCATGGTGAAACCTCTTCTTCACATGCTGTTAAATACAACATTAAGTATAAAAGAAAATGACTTAAAAGAAATAAGCATGGCAAAGGAGGTGATTGCCAAGGAACTATCAGCAACATACCAGCATAATCCTGAGATAGACATGTTTCTCAGTGTTGCAACTTTCTTAGATCCAAGATACAAGAAATTGCCCTTTCTTTCGACTTTTGAAAAACAACAGGTTGAGAACAGAGTGCTGGAGGAAGCAAAAAGTATCCTGGAAAAAATAAAAGACAATACTTCGAGGCCTGAGGAAAAATTGTTTGCAGTGTCAGAAGAGCCACCAGTGAAAAAAGCAGCAATTGCTTCCACGCTTCCTCCTACTAGTGCTATCAATAATATGCTTGCAGAAATATTTTGCCAGACGGGGAGTGTTGAAGATCAAGAGGAGTGGCACGCTCAGATTATTGAGGAACTGAGTAATTTCAAGTCACAGAAAGTCCTTGGGCTCAGTGAAGATCCACTCAAGTGGTGGTCTGATAGACTTGCTTTGTTTCCTGTTTTGCCAAAGGTGCTTCAGAAATACTGGTGCATTGTAGCTACAAGGATCTTTCCAGAACGTCTTTTTAGTTCTTCAGCCAATGTTGTTAGTGCTAAAAGAAATCGGCTAGCCCCAGCTCACGTAGATGAGCAGGTTTTTCTGTATGAAAACACTCATAGTGGATCTGAAGCTGAACCTGATGAAGAGGATGAAGGAGAGTGGGGATTGGAACAGGATCATATGATCAATCCAAGTAACACAGCAAATGGGAGCAGCAGTTTTTTAAATATGCGTGATAATGGCTTCATGTAGAAGCAATAGACTTTCAGACAAAAGCTAATGGTCTTAAATTACCAAACCAAAAAAAATATAACTATTTTAAAAATGTACAACTTCAACATACTGTAGGTAGGTTTTGTATGTAGAATATGTGAGTAAGTCTGGATCATGGTTGTGATTTGTGATTCAAGAAGACAAAATGGCATAAAAGTTATAAGTATAGAGTCAGGAAAAGCTACAGGTATATTTTATCATTGATTTAGAAATAGGATGTATAAATAGTAATTTATAAATGGTTAGTCACCTGCTATACAATCCCTTTAAACAATATTTTCAGCAAATATATGATTTAAGGTCAATATGCAAAGTGTTTTTGATGTAGGATTTTTGATTTTTAAAAGTTTTGATATAAGTGTCCACACATTTAAATATTTAAAGCTTTTGAAATGTCAATTTATCAGAGATTAATTATGTAAAGGATCTAATGTTTGATAGACTCGTGTTATTTCTGACAACCAGATTATTTCTATTTTGTTAAATAGAAGTGTTAGGATTTTTATTTTTATTTGGTTATAGTGAAATCTTGGTACATGTACTGGGTATGCTATGCTACAATGCAGCTGTAGGAACCTGCAGACTTTCAGATGTAGTTGAATTTTAATATTCTTTTCAGGAGCTTCATATTGTGTTTGTGGTAAGGATTAATGATAAAGCAGTGTTGTCATCTGTGCTATAAACTAAATGTAACCTTTCCAAAATTAATATAATGGCAAAAAATATTAAGGTTGCTCTATCAGCAAATGAATATGAGGTTAAATTATATCACCATATTGTTACAAGTCATTAGTTTTGTATCTTGTACTATTGCCAAGCAATCATTTGCAAAGCTTAGTGCTTCTTTCATTTGTACCTTCAAGAAAACCTCTCTATATAAAGTGACATCATGCTTCTAGGCATCATTCCAGATGTATCACATTGATATATCTGCTTTGCTAATTTATTCCATAAATTCTAAACTTCTGTTGCATGGGAACATCTGTGCCAAATGGTAATAGTTCTTATTATGTCATACCTGACATGAAATTTACTAGCTTCTACTACTAGCTTCTAGTTCAATATCATGGTGTCTCATGTCACTCAAACATGGTAGATTTTTGCTTATAAGTGTTAAAATTAATGTTCTAGACATTTGTAGAGTGCTTCAGACATCTCTTCTCAACAATGGGTGTATTGCTGGAGTGATAGTCATACTTGAGAATTACCAGGCTGTGGAAGGATAGACTTAGAAAGTCTTTTGAAATAACACTTACTGTTTTGAAGTTGGAATTTCTCTGCTGATATTTTTTTTAGTTCTAATTTGATGCTTACCTCTTTTTTTTGAGGTACCATTTATTGTAATTTCAACAGAATAATTTCAACAGATAATTTCAACAGAAACAGTTCTTGAATGCTTCTCATAGTTATGCTCTTTTCCAGAAATGATTAACTATGTAGAAAATTAGCAGAGAAGAGTTTTGAGACACGACACATAGATTTGTGTGTATCAGTTTATGTCACCAATATAACGAACTCTGCCCTGGAATGTACTCTTATAAATAAGAGTTGATAAGTAGATTAAGTAAGGCACTTGATTGTTTCTCAACCGATAATCAACCTATTAAAGCAGACATAGGTATAATTGTGAAATTTCCTATTCTAAATAGTTGTTAGATAAGTAGAAAGGTCTGACAGAGTCTTCTGAATGCTGTTTTAGGCTTGCTCTATTCAGATATAGCTGATAGATTCCACTTTGAGCTTTGGTTTCTATAAAATGATCACGGTATGATAAAGAGTTCTCATTTCTATCTCATTTAGCATCTTATGCCCAGTAATAGAAGGAAAGAAACAAATGTACAAATAAGTCTGTGCATGTTAGAATACATCTAACATCTATTTATGTTATATTTCAACATGGGGCACAAAAAAAAGATTATAATCGGAAATGCAAATTTTATAGCGTAAAATAGAATTCAATCTTTGAGCTATATAGTCACAGTATTAATAGCTAGTAGCATTTTTAGATACCATGTGAAATGTACAACTTTCAATTGTTCAATAATCTGTTATTCTAAATTCTACATGTGGATATAGATTTTTCATACAATATTTTCCTGTGTAAATCTAGTCTTTAAAAGGTTATCACATTTCAAAAATTCCAACTGTAATTGGAAAAAATGAAAGAAAAATGGTCACAATACAAAATGTATTTTTTTTAATTTTATGAGCCTTTATATTTCTAGTTAATTATGATATAATTGTAATATTTAGTAAATTGTACTAAATACTATTCCTGTTCTTTCCATTTCTATTATGTAATTTTATAATCATACTTCATTTTTAATAAACATTTTGAAGTAAAAATCATGAAATGTTTTCTTAAGATTTTAACTGAATAGAATACCTCTTCACCAATGTCCAGTTCATAATAATAGTCTTTAGAGCCTGATTTTTGAGACACTGTATATCATTTTATAGAAGTACTTAGTCTATGCCTCTGAATTTTTTCCTCAAAATAAATTTCTTATGTACAAACTTGACTATTTGTGTTACAATAAACAACAAACTGTCAGTGTTAGAAATTTTAACATGAAAAAAGCCAACAAAAAGTGGAATGAACCCAAATATTTTCTTTAATAATGATAATGCATACTGAATTGTAATAGTTTGCTGAAGCATACGAAACAGATTTTATTTTATTTTGCTGTGTTAAACTGAACAACTATAAGATTTTCTGTTCATTTGTTCATGTTCACATCTTAAAATGATTATACCTGCTTGACCAGGAAGGGAATCAGATCTCTGGTCAGAAGTCCTTGTACCTTCATAGTCAGTTACAAAGTAATTTAACATTGAATTTTTAAGGAAATGCTATGCGATTTCAGCTTTTTTCTTTAACAAAAACACTTTATTTTCAGAATTAATAGAAGCAATACAAAGAGAATATATTGAATATAAAATCAGAATATACAAATAATAACAAGAAATTTAAATAGTGCAGATTTGTTATTTAGACATTGATACTATTAATAAGATCTCCACTTCTGCTTTCATTTTCATCTTATTTTATCATTCTTCCTTCTCTTCCATCTCCCACATTAAGCCATAGTGTGTTTATATACTTGTAATACAAGATAAAATTTAATATATGTGATAGCTCTGAGTACATGAAAGCTTAAGCTGTAATAAAGTATTATTTATTTATTTATTTATTTATTTATTTATTTATTTATTATTCAAATTTCTATACAGCCCTTCTCCTTTCGGACTCAGGGCAGTGAACAGCCAAAATAAAACATTTATACATAAAGTATGATTAAAAATAGATTTAAAATAATTAAATTTGGCCCATAGTTTAAAATTTATTAATTTAAAATCCATATCAAAATTTAAAATCAATCTTAAAATCATAAAATCAAGAGAGACCGGCTAACTGAAAGAGATGAGTTTTTAGGGCCCGACGAAAAGTCTGGAGGTCGGAGATCACTTGTATCTCTGGGGGGAAGATTGTTCCAAAGGGTAGGTGCCACCACAGAGAAGGCTCTCCTCCTGGGGGTCGCCAGCCGGCATTGTCTAGCCGACGGCACCCTGAGGAGGCCCTCTCTGTGGGAGCGAACTGGCCGGTGGGAGGCTATTGGTGGCAGAAGGCGGTCCCGTAAGTACCCTGGCCCTAAGCCATGGAGCGCTTTAAAGGTGATCACCAACACCTTGAAGCGCACCCGGAAGTCCACCGGAAGCCAATGCAGCTCGCGCAGGAGAGGAGTCACATGGGAGCGCCCCGTTGCTCCCATAATCCCCCGCGCAGCCGCATTCTGCACCAGTTGGAGCCTCCGGGTGTACCCCAAGGGGAGCCCCATGTAGAGAGCGTTACAATAGTCCAGATGAGAGGTGACGAGTGCTTGAGTGACTGTGCGTGTGTGTGATTATTGGCCATGTGTAAAAGTTACATCTTCTAATTACAAGATTTCTCTCTTGTATGTCTTTACAACGCTGGCATGTACTGTACTTGCATCTATGAGCCTAACTGATCTTTAGATTGGCAGATATAATCTTTAGATTTGTGTCACAAATATGGAAAAATAAATGAATGGTAAGACTATGCATTTTGCCATCCCTCCCTCCCTCCCTTCCTTCCTCCCCTTCCTTCCTTCCTCCTCCCTCCCTCCCTCCCTCCCTCCCTCCCTCCCTCCCTTTTCTTTAGCATTCTTATATGATAGGTACAATATAACTTCAACCTCAGAGTACTCTCTGCAATGCTGATGAGCAAAGGCTATTCAAACATGTCTTGTATTCAAATACATTTTATGCTAATTGTTACCAAGGCATATGTTGCTTAGACAACTTCTGTATTGATTATATACTTGCTGATAAGGACCAGAAAGAGTGGGTTAGTTGCAAAATTTCCCTTTTTTGCCTGCAACACATGCAATATATGCACTGGAATAGATAGATAATGACAGGAATATAGGTGTTGAACTTCACTAAATCTGTTAATGCAGCAGTATTTATGTTTGCATGCTGCCTAATTTATTAGACTTTAGATGTCTCAACAGCCTCTGTTCTGCTCTAAAACCACAGTAAATTGATGTCTTTCATCTTTTAACAATAAGTGAAATGGGCTTAATTTTCAAAGGAAGGTGTATGGTAATAGATCCCTTGATTTATTATGTTCAAAAACACACACAAAACATTTTCACACAAACAGGATTTGAAGTTTCACATATACAAACTCAATCTATTTAAAAAATTTCAGATGGCTTTCTTATTGCTACAAAAATTTAAGCTTTTAAAAGTGTTCTTATCAAGGCACTTTATAGGGAAACTGGCGTTTTTTTCATTTGTTTTCCTTGTATATCAAAAATGCTGGCAATCTTGTACCCTAATCTTCAGATCCTTCCTGCTTTTGTCCAATGTAATACAGTATATTTCATCTGCTTTTTCAACATAGAAGAGGTTGCTCTCATTCAATATTAAAAATATATTTCCCTTCTGTTTGTTTTTTAAGTCTTGTTTCATCCTTCTCCTCAAAGATTATTGTAAAATGCAGCTGATTCTTCAGTCTTTCAGATTCCCCCCCCCAGTGTTTAATACAGTTCATAATTTTAAGACAAATAGCTGGATGACAAAATCTGTCAGTTCGAATAATCTTTTTTTCTGAATGTAGGTTCTTTTAAAAGAAAAAAATGTATATTTACCTTGTTATCTGTACTATCGCTCTAAAAACTTTTTGAAGTAGGATAATTAATTTTTTTTTCATGTATTATCAGAAACACTATCAGAGCAATTCCAATGCTTAGTAGAGTACAAATAAGGGTTATTCATTCATTCATTCGTTCATTCATTCATCAATCCATCCATCCATCCATCCATCCATCCATCCATCCATCCATCCATCCATCTATCTCATAGTTTGAGGTGACTCTGAGAAGTTTACGGTGTGAAGCTGCTTATCCTCATCCTGCTGAAAGTGGCAGTATCTCTTCTATGTTATCTCTGCATCTTATGGATGGGAAACCAGAAGGGAATTTCAGGATTTTATGCTACATTGGAAAATAAAGAACAAAATGAAGAAGGAAATTGCAAATGATATCCAGATATGTAATCATCAACTGGGCTCAAGGGATTCTTTACTTTCTAAAATGAAATTAGTATCATTTATACTTCATTATTGATATGAGGCAGTCGTGAGGACTGCTTATTTATTTGTGCTTTCTTTCTAGATAATCTCCTAAAACCTTGGGTTAAATATGCTTTCAACACTTCCAAAATTTTAATCACTTAATTGGTTAATTTGTTTTGCATTTTTCTGATATATGTTGAACATTGCCTGGAATCAATTGGGCAATTAAAATAGTTTATGAACTAAGCAAATACATAAAATATATATCTGGGCAGTTTAAAAATTTGGAGCATTACATGATTTTCTTATAAAGTCTGAACTTTACAGAGTTAAAAGTGACAGATTATAATAATGTCTGGAAATAAGTACTGGAACCATCCCAGAAAAGGTAGCAAAACAGAGAAATTTGCTCTCTAACTCAGCCATTCAGTTCTATATGACAACCACAAATTTCATAATGTACTCTGATTAAGTGCATGTATCAAGTACTGTATTATAATATAACAGTGGGAGGTATGAATATTTCTGGTTGTCACAACACTCATAGTCTACAACATAAGTTCTCTAGTTTATCCACTAAACTTTTCCACCCCCTGGTAATATTGAACATTTATGAATTTATAAAATTAATTTCAAATTATAACCTAACTCTCTTCATATAATGAAAAAGCACATCGAAAGAAGCAAATTTAGGTGATTTGTGATTATATTAATAGTTTGTTGTTTTTCATTGTACTCTATCAAATTAAATAGAACTGCCAAATAATCACTCTGCAGATCAACCCTGAGCTATATTTTCTTCTATTACTTGTATGTTAACTGTGTAACAGTATATTTACCTATTTATCAATATTTTATATCAATAAATTGCAAACTCCAAGCTAATCATGAAAGATATTTATTAAGTACTGTAATTTATAAATGTAAGCAGTTGATTTTCTTTGTAATTTAACTATATTTTGATGTGAAGGACTTATTTAAATAGACAGGCATTGTGCATTAAATGACCTCAATATATAACTCTGTCTTTTGCCTCCACGATGTATTCTTAATGGTTTAAAGCTGGCAAAGGAGTAAAAGTTTTCTCTTTAGCAAGTCATTGTAAAATGTATGAATGGGAGAAAGTCATTCTTTTTAAAATATATGTTAAAGAACATTGATGTAAATTAGAGAACATTTTATGCAACTAGAGCTAGAAAGGTGAGTGTGATAAATATGGTATATGATAGAAATAAAGCATGTATGAAAAATCAATGGACTGTTTAGTGATTCAATATTAGGGAGCAAGATAAATATTTCTACTTGGTTGTTTAATGAATTTAAAAATGCATAGAGAATTCTTTGGTAATACCAAAAATATGTTGAGTGGAGATGTGAATGTTTGCATATTATTATATATGTTATATTATTGCCTTGACATACAAATTGAAATAGAAAAGTGAGTAATAGATAATCGGTTGCAAGGGATACGGTAAACATTTTTGTTTGAAGAAACAAACTGTTTCTAAGAGATTGATTCTGCCTTTGAAATCGAGTTTTCCATATGTAGGAGAAAGAACAGAGAATGAGTGAAGTGGAAGAGGAAGGTGAACACCAAGAATATAGTGGCTGAATGGAGTTAATGAGTTAGTTAAAAGAGGAATTGAAACAAAGAGTCAGCAAATCTGTTGACTCATACAGATCATATGGCTCAGATTCTAACAGAACAGAGTAAGTATATCACTGTTTAGTTGTAGATAACAGGACTCCAAATTATTATCTAATCAATCTGTTGGCTATCATAAGTCAGCTGTTCACCAAATACCCAAATGAGAAATTGGTCAGCTGACTCTTCCAGTAGGAAAATTCTATGGTTAAGGAACAGGCCAAAATCTAATCTAGTCCTCCAACATTTCACTGAAACCCATTGTGAATCCATGTGGTAAATTCTTAATAGTCTGTGAGACA